TTGCTATATTTCATATATAAATGTGAAAATTAATATATAGAAAAATATATTGGGGAGGATTTATGACTATAGCTGATCGGAGAAATAGGCACGTACACTTCCATATCTCTATCATACAGTCACTTGCTGTATAGGATGTAACAGATGACATGGGGACCTGGTGCTGGAAATGATCCACTACTTTACTATTACTAGAAGAAAGGCAATCTGGAGCTTCCATTGAAATAACCTCCTCATCCCACTTACAATAAGGGTTCACTAGAGAGACAATATATTTCATACATACTTAGATGACACATAACATATAATGCTGAATGGCACTGCTTTGAAAAGCTGTTGGTACTAAAAAAAATCTAAATATATTTATTATATTTGATATGAGAGGTGAGGTCAAACATGTAAAGTCCACTTGAAAATAGTGAAATCACCCTTAGCCAGTACAGATGGAGGCCAGGGCTTATTAGTGGCCTCGGCCAGCACATTTAAAGGTTTTTAGGGCTTCATCTCAAGCCAATGCAGTGTAGAGCTGCAATGCTTCGTGCATCATTGTGAAGCTAGTCGTTGGCCATATACAATGAATACCAGCATTGTGTCAGATGTAACCTACCATTGTCTACCTTCTATGGGAATAGCAAGGCAGGGAGCTTACTGTAAATTAGATTTCTTTTTCAAAATCTATAAGCCACTTTTACACCTTGGAAGCTTTACCCTGAGATGTGCATGCTCATCAGCAACTAGTAAATGATAAAGCCCCTGTCTAGTAACCAGTAACATTTGCTTGTCCTGTGCTCTCAGCACTTGGACAGAAGTGTACTGGTGTGTGTGTTATGTCCCTGTGTGTCTGTCTGTGAGCCCTCACCACCATCACACTGGTCCTGTGAATGGGGTGAGCGAGTGCCATTGTGTTGCTCTTAACTTCCAAGTCAATGCCATTTTTAACCACTGGCTTGTGGCACTTTCAAAAATCACCAGGGGCTGTCAGAGTTGGGTCCTCTGAAAAATTTACAGTGCTAAATTAGAACATATGCTGAGAGAGGGGGGGGGGTGCTGAAGACTGAAGTACAGTATCTGTCTGCCCCCTAGAGTTAGGCTTTCATCTGCCTAAAAAACTAAGCTTGCAGTGGAAAGAAGATGGGATCTTAAAGGAGACCGACTTCGGGCTCACGTATCCACGCCAGTAAGAAACTTATGTGCATATTAATCTGATTAACTCCTGAGGATTTCCAATGAAGTGACTTTGGACTCAGCCGGTGCGCTGGGTGAAGTTGATGCTGGCGCATGGTGAGCGCCTGTGGAGATGCGTCTAGGGGGCTGATGCAGTGTGCTCTTTCATTGATGGACCGTGTGTGCAGAGCATTCATATCCAGCCAGCATTGAGGAGACCTGTCCCTGGCTGCAGCTCACTTGGAGCATTCTTTGCAGAGGAGCCAGCGGTGAGTACCTTGCCTTTACCCAGCCATCTGCGCTTGTTTTGCTCTCTAGTTTAGGCTGAGGCTGCTGCAGCCGATCTGTCCGATAGGGATCACCCAGAGCCAGGGCTATGCTTCCTATGTGCAGCCCTACCCATAGCTCCGGACTGGGGAGAGCTTTGCTGCTGGTGCCTATGACAGATGAACGCTCGCTGCAAGTGATACTGCTATCATTTTAACCCAGTCATACATTATATGAAACACACACAAACAACACGGTGTCAGCCTCAACACTGGGCTAAATAAGCACACTCAGCAGATTAATCAAGTTAACATATAGTTAAAGAGATAGAGCATCTCATGGCTAGCAGACAAGATAGAACAGATGAAATAAAATAGACCTACCAAACACGTATTTTCCTTGCTCTGCGTCCCAAATGGCTTGCATCTTCTTCCTATCACTGCAAATCCCTTTTTTAGTGTGGCAGGTGAAATGAGTCCCTTTTTGCACGTTATTGAAGATTTCCTTGTACAAAGAGAATACAATGTCTCCCCTTACTGTGTTTATTTTAGGCGATTGAACAAACTGATTGCAAAGTAAGGCAAACGCCTTGAGGGTGCAGGGAGAAAGGTGAATGGGATATCCTCTGCTTGGAAGGGAAGTTCTAGTATTAGTCTTGCAGGCTTTGCAAGAAAAAAAAAAAAGAACTTGACACTATAACTTTAAATCTAGAGAGTTTGAGAGAGCCAGCACACAGCCTGTCAGGAATGTGAGCCTCGCCTTTAAGAAAATCCCCATAGCCAAGGTATAGCAGAGTACAGTGATCTCCTCTCTCATCTCATTCCTTAGAAGGAATAGAGAATTGCTACACCTTCCAGTTTGGGGCAGGGATAGATGGGACTTA